TAGAATATTTTGAAAAACTTGATTTATTTCAGTAATTGCATTCAAAAGGTGTAACTTGTACATTATATTTATTCATTGCACACAGACTGATGCATTCAAATGTTTATTTCATTTAATTTTGATGATTTGAAGTGGCAACAAATGAAAATCCAAAATTCCGTGTGTCACAAAATTAGAATATTACTTAAGGCTAATACAAAAAAGGGATTTTTTAGAAATGTTGGCCAACTGAAAAGTATGAAAATGAAAAATATGAGCATGTACAATACTCAATACTTGGTTGGAGCTCCTTTTGCCTCAATTACTGCATTAATGCGGCGTGGCATGGAGTCGATGAGTTTCTGGCACTGCTCAGGTGTTATGAGAGCCCAGGTTGCTCTGATAGTGGCCTTCAACTCTTCTGCGTTGTTGGGTCTGGCATTCTGCATCTTCCTTTTCACAATACCCCACAGATTTTCTATGGGGCTAAGGTCAGGGGAGTTGGCTGGCCAATTTAGAACAGAAATACCATGGTCCGTAAACCAGGCACGGGTAGATTTTGCGCTGTGTGCAGGCGCCAAGTCCTGTTGGAACCTGAAATCTCCATCTCCATAGAGCAGGTCAGCAGCAGGAAGCATGAAGTGCTCTAAAACTTGCTGGTAGACGGCTGCGTTGACCCTTGATCTCAGGAAACAGAGTGGACCGACACCAGCAGATGACATGGCACCCCAAACCATCACTGATGGTGGAAACTTTACACTAGACTTCAGGCAACGTGGATCCTGTGCCTCTCCTGTCTTCCTCCAGACTCTGGGACCTCGATTTCCAAAGGAAATGCAAAATTTGCTTTCGTCAGAAAACATGACTTTAGACCACTCAGCAGCAGTCCAGCTCTTTTTTTCCTTAGCCCAGGTGAGACGCTTTTCGCGCTGTTTCTTGGTCAACAGTGGCTTGACACGAGGTATGCGGCAGTTGAAACCCATGTCTTTCAAGCGTCTCTTGGTGGTGGATCTTGAAGCCCTGACTCCAGCAGCTGTCCACTCCTTGTGAATCTCCCCCACATTTTTGAATGGGTTTTTTTTCACAATCTTGACTAGGGCGCGGTGATCCCTATCGCTTGTACACTTTTTCTGACCACAGTTTTTCCTTCCCTTTGCCTCTCTATTAATGTGTTTGGACACAGAGCTCTGAGAACAGCCAGCCTCTTCTGCAATAACCTTTTGTGTCTTTCCCTCCTTGTGCAATGTGTCGATGGTCGCCTTTTGGACAGCTGTCAAATCTGAAGTCTTCCCCATGTTTGTGTAGGCTTCAGAACTGGACTGAGAGACCATTTAAAGCCCTTTGCAGGTGTTTTGAGTTAATCAGCTGATTATTTTGTGGCACCAGGTGTCTTCAAAATGTAACCCTTACACAATATTCTAATTTTGTGACACACGGAATTTTGGATTTTCATTTGTTGCCACTTCAAATCATCAAAATTAAATGAAATAAACATTTGAATGCATCAGTCTGTGTGCAATGAATAAATATAATGTACAAGTTACACCTTTTGAATGCAATTACTGAAATAAATCAAGTTTTTCAAAATATTCTAATTTACTGACTTTTACCTGTATATCAATAATTTGGGGTGACAGTATTTCTACAGCACAATTTATGATGTATCGCATGCTTTACTTTCCCCCCCTGCTTAAGTAAAAGCAGGAAATGAATCACCCTATGCCTCTACTGCCATTAATTCCAATTAAACTGGTTCTGGATTTCTCCCTGACCAAGATGGCTGCCATTTTCATCCCATTCTGTAACTTTGAGGGATTATGAAATAACCCTTCTAGTAATTGAATAGGATCTCTATGGCAACACCTCTCACACATTCTTGTAACATTTAAAAACATTGTGAAAACATGGAGCCTTCATTTGGACCGTGCAAAAACGTGAGATTGTAAGAACATGGGGGCACTCATTTGGACTGTATCAAACCCTTTTGTGCTTGGCATGGACGCGTGACTCCCGGACTGACTAACATGACACAGTTTGGGATTAAAAACAGCTACAGATTAGAAGCATTGACCAGAGCCACATTAGTGGGGCGGCAGGTACCTTAGTGGTTAAGAGCGTTGTGCCAGTAACCGAAAGGTCGCTGGTTCTAATCCCCGAGCCGACTAGGTAAAAAATCTGCCGATGTGCCCTTGAGCAAGGCACTTAACCCTAATTGCTCCTGTAAGTCGCTCTGGATAAGAGAGTCTGTTAAATGACTAAAAATTTAAATGTAAAATGTAGCGTGTGTGTGATATTACAGAGAGCTCTTGTGTGAGAAAGGTCATTTTTCCAGCAGTAGAACTTCACTTAGGATTTAACTTAATTTGGTGCATCATACGGTATAGAGGATCTTGTGTGATAGCTTAGGAATCTTCATCTACTCTCACAGAGTGCAGTGAGATAACTAGTGTAGGCTACTTCATACCCAGAGAAACATACTGTACATGGGGCATTGATATAGAAAACATGGGGATATTTGCCTTTTCAAGGCTGGCTACTGTTAAAAAGAGTCAAGGCCAGCTCTTCTGAACCAAAGCAGAAATAAAATAATGGAGGCAAAGGATTCCAACCTAGTCCTTAAAAAAAATACTTTCACGTTAAAATCTGAACACGCTCTCCTTTGCCCCCCCCAACCTGGATCTCTAAGTCTCTCTTAGAAAGAGAGAAGACACAAGGAGAGGAATCGTCTTTGAATGGAAGTCTAAAAAAGGTCCTCTCCCCTCCTTTCTGAATTCGTGGGGGGGGGGGGGGGGGGGGGGGGGAGCACGTATGGAGATGCTGGATTGAGGGGTCAAACGGATGGTCGTCGATGACATAGCGGTGAACCATCTACATGACCGACTCGTTCTCAGAGATGCGAGCTGCCGCCTTCTCGCCGCCCGCACCCCTGCTCTTCTTCTCCTCGATGAGGGGCTCCTGCTCCTGCAGAGCGGGCTTGTCATCCTCCATCTTTACCTCACTTAGCTCCGCCCCCTCCTCGGGCTTGGCAGAGCGGTCCACGTACCACTGCAGCAGCCCGGCTCCGAAGGCGTCGCCCTCCACGTTCAGAACGGTGCAGGTACGGTCACTGGAAACAGAGAAATGGTCCAATCACGGTTAAACCAGTCAAACCCAAGTTTTTCATCGCATCCATAACTATGTCATGTCAATGCTATGTCAAGTGTGTGAAGCAGACACAAATGGTCATGGCTGTTATGACACATATGTGTATATATATATATATAAAACAGTATTATAGAGGAACTGCAGTAAACATGAGGTACTCACACGAGCCAGTCGACAGCGAGGATGAGGGAGATGTCGTTGGTGGGCAGTCCCACTGCCTCCAGGATGATGGCCAGTGTCAGCACACCCCCCGCAGGGATCCCTGCTGCTCCCACACTAGACGCTGTGGCTGTCACTCTGACAGAGGGGGTGGGACATGGGGAGAATTAGCCACTCAAGAGCACAGTGTTTCCTAAAACTCAGCCTAGCAAGTTTGACCCAAACTTTACACAAGTTTGTTTTGTATATATACTGTAGCTACTACATTTGAATTTGCGCCGCTTTACCCAACAGTTGAATCAAACTGAATCGAATCAAACTGACTAGAGAAAGCGTGACTCACAGGATGGTGAAGACTTGGATGAAGTTTAGTGGGATGTTGTTGAGCTGAGCGATGAAGACTGCAGCCACACACTGGAAGAGCGCTGCACCGTCCATGTTCACTGTGGCCCCGATGGGCAGGATGAAACGACTGATGTGCTTCGACACGCCGTTCTTCTCCTCCACGCACTTCATCATCAGCGGCAGGGTGGCAGAGCTGAGAGTGAGCATGAGTGTGTGTGTGTGTGAGAGCTCTAGCCGTAAATTATGCCCATCAGTTCTGACATAATTACCAATGTTTCTCTTCTCTGTAACACTTTTGCACTGGTAACATAGTACTTGAATAATTGTATTTGAACTGCATAGTAATGGAGTTTAGCATTTTTGGTACGGCATAAGAGCAACATTGGTATAAGAGCAATTAAGGATTACCATCCTCTCTAGCATGGTGATCTAGTGACTACAACAGTACCTGGAGCAGGTTCCAAAGGCTGTGGCCAGAGCTGTGAAGATGCCCCACAGGAAGGTGTAGGGGTTCTTGCGGGTGATGATAAAGTAGATGCCTGGCAGGACCAGCAGGCCGTGGATGGAGTGGCCGATGATACAGCAGGCTATGTACTTGCCCAGGCTGGCAAACAGCGTTCCCACGTCCTCCATCTCCACGATCTTCCCTGCCACCAAGAACATGATACCAAGGGGGGCATACCTGGAGAGAGGGAGGAGGGAGAGGTGGGTTACCCTTATGAATTTGTAAAGATGCAAATACAATAAAAGTACAAATACAATAAAAACAAATAATATGCATCAATATTACCACATATGAAGCAAGTACCAATACAACAACAATTAGTGACTTCGGGTCCTTGAAAAAACCCTACTTAAATACCATATTATTATTATAACAATTACGAGTTGACATGTGAAAGATAAACGCGGGGTGGCAAAACTCATACATCATGCGTGTATCCTCTCCCACACCCAGATCTATTCCCTACAGTGCTGTTGGGGAAACGACTCCCTTACCACATGATCCAGGACACCAGAACCATGGTGGCCTCGTTAAAGGAGTTGAAGAACTTGATGAGGATCTCTCCCTCCTCTCCCAGCTTCCTCAGGGCTACACCAAACACCATGGCAAACACCACCAGTCCTAGGATGTTCATACCGTCCTGGTCTGTGCCAAAGGGAACCTAGATACACACACACACAACACAATAACTCTGGTCAGCGTGAGTGATGCATTTTAGACACATTCAAACTGTCAACAGCCATAGGTATTAGAAAGTCAAATGTGACATCCTATACAGATTTCCAACTCATTTTGCCATTTAAGTCGACTCACCTTCTCAACTGTGATGTTGGGCAAGCCATTAGTGCCATTCTTGGTCACAAACTTGTAGCTGGTAGCATACTGCAGACAGAGGAAAATATTTCATTAGTACACTGATGCAAGACATGTTCTGTTCAACTAACTAATTATGTGGATTCCAAAAAAGCCTTAAAGGAATAACACCAACATAGTTTTTTTGTGTGTATTTGTTTCAGTAATCCACTGTTAATACAGTCCCAACATGTTTTGCATGTCAGCAATCAAGTTTTCAAGATATAGGACTTTCAAAAAGCAAATTGTAACTTGCCACATCATCATGATGATGCGTTTTTCATCATGTGGTAAATTACAATTTGCTTTTTGAAAGTCCTATATCTTGAAAACTTGATTGCTGACATGCAAAACATTTTGGGACTGTATCAACAGTGGACTAATGGCAAGAAAATGCCAAAAGATAGTTTGAGTAGATTATTCCTTTAAGTCTCGGTTTCTCTCTGCCTCTCTTTCTATCATATGTGTGGTATAAGAGGATACTCACAGACTGAAAAGCTGCAGACACCAAGTTGGAGGGGAAGATGTTTCTGTGAGAGAGAACAAGAGACATATTCAGTACACTACACAGGCACCAGCTGTGCTGACAGTGACATTGCGATGATCAGAAACTCAAGAGGCATTTATAAATTAAAATCATATATATATATATATATATATATAATTAATTTAATCATTTCAAAAATGGAATTTGGGTAAACTGATCCAAGGTCTGTGACTAAAGGTAACAACCCACGGGATACAACCACTAACTGAACTCCTTGTTCTAACTTCTAAGCCATCTTTTCAGGATTCCTTTATGCGAACTCGGTGCCTATAACCTTGGCACCGACGCCTCACGAGGGAGCCAACCACGAGTTCTGTCATGTGGAAATAGCGGGAGCATTTCAGTGTTTTAATCCTCCAACTGCCCCCAAAACTGCTGCTGCTGGGATTACAGGCCCAAATCCAGACCTCCCGAGAGGGGTGGGCAGATTACTGCTCTACAATACAGTACACAGACACACGTCAGTGGAGTTACTGTACCACCACTGCCCCTCAAAGCCACATATAGGCGAACATAGTGGCCAACTCTCCTCAGAGCACTAAGCCACCCCCACCCTTCCCTCTTAGTCAACCTCCATATGGATTTAGAGTAATAAGGGATTAACTTCTTTCATGTTTTTATCCTGCATCTCTTTCTGACCTGAATACATGCGGGACAGGAAACAATGCATTGTGGGATTAAACGGTCGCACCATGTGACCGAGGATAGAATGACTCGAGGTAGAAGTTGCCCGTAAACCACATTTCTAGGAAGGTGACGTGTATCAGTCTAACAAACCCTGTCAATTCAAAACTCCATTTCCATGGTTGTTGCAGGTCTTGGTCAAACAGGGAAAGGAAATGCCCTCTCTAGAACCCTCTCTCGCTGGTAGTGAAGGTTCCACAGAAACAGGAAGCAGTGACGTTAACGTGGATGTCAGATTTCATCAGACGCTCCGAGCAGCGCAACCGTCTGCCTGCCCAAAACTCACATCTCGGTTTAGATTTAGTAACCAGCTGACTCCACCTACACCCTCCATTTCCCTTTTCATACTTCATGATCCAATTTACATTTTAGTAGACGCTCTTATCCAGAGCGACTTCCAATTAGTGAGTGCATACATTTTTCATACTGGCGCCCCGTGGTATGCAGTGTCATGACAACCCAATGCATTAAAGCTAAATTAACATAGCCAAGGCTAGACGCAAGAACAATGGGTGACGGTTGGAATACACAGACGGAAAAAGCGAACGCAAATAGGGCTGCACCTTTAGGCCTAATACACCCCCCTTGACATGTACAGACAAACCCTAAAACAAACACAAAAACATTATGTGTGGCAGCGGTATCTATGCCAAAGACCCAAGGAAAAGGCTCATCCAGGCTCTGTCATGTATATATATATATATATATATATATATATATAATGTATGCACTCACTAACTGTAAGTCACTCTGGATAAGAGCGTCTGCTAAATGACTAATATGTAAATGTAAATAAGACACATTTTGTGGCTTCTCTTGTTTCAGACATTTCCCGTTTCTCCAGTCCTGACATTCTCTGCATTCGTATTTAGTAAGTCACTGCCTTGTTCCTTCTCTACCCCAGTCCTACAGAGATCCCTAATTGACACGCTCCCTCCTCTCAAAGCGAAACTCTGTCCAGGAACGCTAAACTACTGTGAATATGCAACAGCAGCACTCCTTTAAAATAGTAACTCCTGTCTGTCAGGGTCCAAAAATAGCATAATTACACACCACACCCTGCCTGATCTTCTTGGTACACGCGAAGTGTGGTGGTAGGTGTGTTGGATTTACACCATCCTGGGTGGTGTAGACCTCTGCAATTCAGTGTTGACACGTCGCTTTTATGTCCCCGTGTTCACCTGAGACCGCCTCTACTTGGTCAAACCGGATCTGCGTGTGAAAGGTGGTAACCATGGCAGCAGCACCTTACTTACATACCAGTGTGAAAACGCCCCCGTCTTCGCCCTCTCTAGACCAATGAGAACCCATGGGTCCCTCCTGGCTGTACGTGGCTAACTGACGCAGATAGTAGACACCCTCTCCGTCACTCCTGAAATACTGCTTTAGGGAGGCGAGCCAAATGCCACAGAGACAGCGCTGTAGAGGCATGCCACAGAGACAGAGCTGTAGAGGCATGTCACAGGAGGGGGACAGAGAGGATGGCTGATGTGACACACCTGATACTTTACGGCCACCTTTCTTTGTTCCTGCAGACCCGTTCTTTTGTCCCAAAGCATTTAAAATTATCCCATTCAAATCGAGTGAATTGTAGTACCGTCCTTCTCTCTAGCTCTTAATGCCATCTACATTTAACAGCTATGGTCCATTGTCCTGTATGTTTGTCTCTGTGTTTAGTCTCAGGGTTAGACTAATAAGTCAAAAGGGACAGACAATGACTTGCAGGTAGATCAGTAAGAGCGAAGGGCCTCCTTTTAACTGAAGACCAACACTACCAGTCATTTATGTAAATTAGTTATTGGCACATCAAACCTTGACCAGTAAACAAACAGGTGGTACAACACAGCCTGCATAGGGGCACCTGTGAACGAAGCATTGAACTGACAAGTGGGAAAGCAAACGGATGAAAGCAGTGGAGGCTGCTGAGGGGAGGACGGCTCATAATAAAATGGCTGGAACGGAGCAAATGGAAACCATGTGTGATACCATTCCACAAATTCCGCTCCAGCTATTACCACGAGCCCGTCCTCCCCAATTAAAGGTGCCACCAACCTCCTGTGGAGATAAGATAAGCAAAGTATACAAGGACTTGAAAGGGAGGGAGGGGATTTCGCACCAGGTAGGGAAATGTGATGCCTTGTTCCTCTTCAGTTGGTTTATTACCTTTATTTAACCTATTGGTTTAAGCCGGTAAGTTAGAGGTCATTTGTAACTAATAGTACCTGCCACGTCACAACTTTTTGTAATATTGTGTTAGTGTGAGAGAATGGAGGTGAGAGAGGAGGGAGTGAAAGAGTGTGCGAGCGTGCATGCTTTAAAAAGGGCTCCTTGTTTCCGCTGTAGTGAACCGCTCCTCGGCCCGGCGCTGCTGTTGCCAAAACGGGACCCCGACAGAGTGGTCGCTTTAATGAGCCACGAGTCACGCAAGCTGCACAATTAACCACCATCCTTTGTGACCTATATGTGTAAGTGTGTCCACACGAGACAGACAACCTTTCTCATTGATTCCCTGCCGAGAGCCAGGCGCATCCAACACGCATCCAAGAAAGCCTAATTCTATTTTTTTAAAGATCAAAATGGATTCCTTATGCGTTGGATTTGGAAGGAGACCACGGTTTCAACTTGTAGATCGTATTATGCAAGAGCGAGTTACTAAATCATAATGACAACTATGGGCGAAGGAATTACAATCCGTTTATAGAAGGATTATAAATTAAACAATATTCATTACCCCAATACCCCCACCTGTGTAATCTGGCTTTAACTGTTTGAAATGTATTTAGGGGGTTTTCCTGGACTGGGACCTAGGGGTTTGGACTAGCAGGTGGCTGAGAGGGATTTTGGAAAGAAGCCTATGACTTTCACCATCACAATTCATTTTTAGGTTTAGAGGTCGCCCATAATGCTGGACCAGGAGGAACAGAGCAACTGACTGACTGGCTGCATGGCTTCAATTTAGAGACACTACACACGCTTCTCTTTATAAACCCAAAGCAACAGACATAGGCCTAATTAAGGTTGTGTGACGACTGGGCCTTAAATTAATGTAAATACCCTGAGAGTGGCTCTTTTTATGGTGAAAAGCCGAGAGCGCACACAAAAAATGACATCTCTGTAGATAGAGCACGGTCTAGTCAAGTTTCTAATCCTACTGAAAACACAGGGTCTTTTAGTTCAGTTCAAGCCCTGGAGAATAGGCCATTCTTTCCTATCTCATTGTTGCATAACATGTGATAGGCTAAATGATTGGCAAGATGTTTAGGTTTTAAAACTCCTAACTAGTAGGCCTAATCTAGCCTAATGACCTGATCTAGGTACAGAGCGGTGGGCAGGGGGGAGTTTGGTCACATGGTTGCCAGCTTCTTATGCTAGCATGACTCCCCTCGCCTATGATGAGTCTTTGGTGCTGGTATTTGTGACACATGCACAAATTACGTTTTGACAGTTTAGTATTTCCTGTCAACAGTCACTGTCATGGGTAACTATGTAACGCAACCTGATGCTTTGGAACATCAGTGTACTGAGATGGTTTAAAACACGATATCAGTTCTGTTGTAGTAAGGGCTCACGGCAGAATGCCACTGACTTTGCCACATTCTTAATATATTTTGAGTATGTGCCAACATGAGGCTCTGGTGACCAACTGCTCATCACTTCCTTTCTAAATCCAACTACATGGTGAGGTTTCATTGAGAGTGTGTATGAGTATGATCAGGGTCAGTCAGTTTGTACAGTATGTGAGGCACAAAAGATGAGTGGTTAGAGACACACACATTCCCCAACTAACGCCGGTTCTCTATATTTAGAATACATTATTTTCTCCCTGCCAGGCAAAATGACTTTGCTCATTGCATTATGCTTGAGAGCCTTTTAAGGCACCAAAGCAGCAGAAGTGTACATTAGTTGTATTACAATCTAAAACCTAGACCACAAACCATAATAAAGCAATGCTAATCATTTTGCGCAGTGATTGTTTGAACTTCCATTTAACTTACTGTTCATTGACTGGCAAGACAGAGGTAATGTAGAACAGTAGGTTGCAATGACTATTATTGACATGTATTTCTTAGTAAACATGTCACCCCTAGTAATGGAAAAACGTACTCTGATTATAGTTTTTTTTTTCTTGGAGCACTGAGGTTGTCACATTTTTCAGGAATGTGTGCTACAAGCAACAACTGTGCAATCATTTCGTTGGACAATGCGGTCTCAGAATTATTCTTTTTTAAAGTCTGCCAAAGTGTGGTAAACCAAGAAAGAACGGACTGTCCAAGACATCTTTCCTCGTCTGTGCCTAAAAACACGTGGCTGGAACGTTTTGTAATGCCCCTTTTTGGTAATACAAGGGGCCGTCCCAGACCGAAAGGGGCCGTCCCAGACCGAAAGGGGCCAGCCCACAACATACTCAGAACTACCGCCCACACCCACAACGACGCACTATTCAACGTTTCCTACACGTGTATTAGTGGAAACATGAAGCTAAACTAAGCACATACATGTGTTACATAATATTGCGCATGTAGGCTAAACAGGTGATGTTTTCTGATGATCCAGGGTTGGAATGACAAGAGGGGACCGGTCAAGACACGCCATCTGTCTTTAGACACTGAACACACATCGCAAATTAACGGGCTGCATCTTGAGTTGATGCAGCTACTCCCCTACATTACAGCACGAGGACGTTACAGCACGAGGAAATAATTGGCTGGTTAGCATAGCTAGCACATTGTGACCTTCTCAACTGTCTCGCTATGATGCCACGGTGTGTGGTCTTGACCGAGGCATGCAACCTTCTTTTCTGGGCGCACGGCAAAGGGAACCCCGGCCGGTTGGGGAAACTGTGCCTTTAATGAAACTGGATGGCGCGCATGTCGCCAACAGTCCCAGAAAGAAGGGCTGACAGTCAAAACTTAAGAGACCTTATTTGTACTGACCCAGCATGAGAGCACTGACTAACATTTTCAAGACCACGTGCAGTCAGACTGCTTGGCTCGGTTTTCTAATATATATGTTGGAATTTATGCCTAATTTGGGGTAACAAAGCAACATCCAAATCAGCCCCACTCAATTCAAACAGTGGCCTCGTTAGCTTGCTGCTGGCTGGGAGGTCTGCCACGTGTGAGCACTTTGTCATTGTGACAAATAAGGATGGGGACAAAACAAGGCACGCGCGCCGCCACTTCAGTGAACTACCCCCCAATGGCTAGATGCCAAATCAGCCTGTCTACCCCTTTTGCTTAGCCTAAGTCACCGACACTGCCAGACATTTGAATCTCACCTGATCAGGTCCAAGAATGAGTCCACCACTTCTTTGGCCTGAGGCAGCTCACCGTCATCCGACAAAATCGGCTTGGAGCCGGTGTTTGATCCGGGGGAGATGATGAACGCCATGATCACCCCGATGGCTGATGCAATTAAGGTGGTGACCAAAAAGAAGAGCATGGCCCAGCCGCCCAGCTTGCCCAGGGCTTTGGGGTCGATGCTGGCCGACCCGGACACCAGACTGCACACGACCAGGGGGATGATGATCATCTTCAGCAGCCGGATGAGCAGCTCGCCAGGGAAGCCCACGTAGAGGACCTGTGTCCTGCTCAGCTCCATGTGGCGCACACCAAGTCCGATGAACACCCCGATGATCACCCCGGCCACGGTGAGAATCACCAGCAAGTTGGCCATGACTAGCCTCTTGATTTTCTCTGCCGTTGTCTCGTTGGAACACTTCTTGTGGCCGAATCCGTTGGCTACCTGCTCATCGAGATGCGCCTCTCCGTTGGATGCCTTCCCCTTCATGTCTATCTTTTCTGCCATTGTGCGCTCTGAGTGTACCTTAAAACCTAAACAAAATAATTATATGGAGAAAATTATAGTCAAAGTTTGTTTGGCTATAAGATCTGTTGGTGTAGCTGTTCGAGGTAGTAGTGGTCTTGTATTGTTGCGGTCTTGCCTCTCTGCCCGTAATTTATAACCCAACCAGCGCAGTCTGTCCAGGAAAAAAGACTCACCGGAAACGTGACGTAGGGGGCGGGCTCATGCAGGTTGGTGGCATTCCCCACCCATTCCTAATTAAAAAGCCATTTTTAACCTTCCTAGGCCATCTGTCCTAATACCAAAATAATTGTAAAAGTCAAATAGAAAGAGAGCAATATCATTTTAAATGTTCTAAACCATAACTGCACAATTAAAATAATTAAAATGGACAAATAAGTAAACACATAATGAGCAATTAAATCATGCATATTTTTCCTATGATAAATAAATATGTTTCAATGACGAATGAAATTACATTTTAGCAATTAGAAGTACATTAAAATGAGGATATCATCCTGAACCTAGATCAGTGTTTCTCAATCCTGCATTGTAGCCTACCACTGCCCTAGATGACACATTAGGAGTGGATTGCATCAGCATCAGTGATTAAACCTCTCCTATTCACTCTCAGTAAAAAAGGTTACGGTTAGGGTACAGTACTGTTCCCAGGGGTACAAAAATATAAAAATACACATAATGTACGTTTCAAGGTACACATAATCTCAGATGGTACTGTGTGGTAACTTTTAGGGTACATGTGCAGATAATCTAGTATAATGGTATATTTTTGTACCCAATATTTTGAATATAAAGAAGGTACAATCATCACACTCAAAAACCCTGCCCATCATTATCATATTTCCCAGCATACTCTATTGCCAGTTGATTTTTAGAATTGTTTGTTTCAATGTGTGTGTTTTAGCATGCACATTGATTGATTTTATGCTACACAAACTTTTTTTTGTACTGTATTTTTTTGCCATTTATGAATGTGTTATTCAATGTGTTTCTATGGGCTTTAGTAGTGGGCCAAATTCAATATTTTATCAAATCATTTGTAAAAAAATTAATAAAAAATGGGGATACCTAAAGGGGTCCTAAAATTCAAAATCAATTAGCTAAATGATCCATGGTATGACCATCTTAAAACAATTCCATATGTCAGCTTAGAACCCCCCTCCCCCCCAACGGCTTAGACTCTTATAAGGCCCGTTTTAAAAGTTCTGAGTGATGGAGCAGCTCTCATGGTCAGGGAGTGCATTCCATATGTGAGGGGCAAGAGAGCAGAAGGCTCGGTCCCCCATAGTTTGGAGACGTGTCTTGGGGACTTGAAGCAGTAGGGAGTGGCTGGAGCGGAGAATGCAAGGTGTAGATACAGTTCAGTACATCATCAAAGTGATATGAATCCAAAACAGGGTAGATCTGTGTGTTTGAGGGGAGGGTGAAGATGGAGACATCTGCACATATTGAACCATTAGACTCTGTGAGTCATCATATTCTCTACCTACATTCAATGAAAATGTGGGGCAGAATATAACCAATCACAGGCTTTCAAACAGAGCACCTCCCTGAACAAAACATCTGTGCTATCCTTGAAATGTTATTGTGTGCTCTCCCTCCCTCATCTCTGATACAGAGAGCGAGAGAGAGAGAGAAAGAGAGAGAGAAAGACCTGACATGACACCTGACCTGATCTCCGCACCTAGTCTTTTCCAAGCCATGTTTTTGGATGAGTAAAAAAAGAGACTGAATCTCAATGTCTGGAAGAACGGCGCTCCGTCTCTGATAGTAGGCAGTCTCTGTCGGGGTGCCAGTATCCTCCACGTTAGCTTATACTGAGAAAATAATCAGAACCCTCTTTGAACCCACCTCTCAAGGATGCACATTGTTGGGAAAGGCACATTTTAACAGTTAGAAATTAAAATTCAGCCAGGAGAGAGCAGTTGGAAGCTCTCGTCTCCGTCCCCCTGGCTTGTGTTATCTCAGGCTTTATCTTTGTTGCACCCCACTGGGTGAGGGATGTTTCGAATAATCGCGGTGTCCCTGTGAAATTGTGCATTCCTCTGTGAGACTGTGAAAGAGGTGCATTGGATAGCCAGAGCAGCATGAAGAGTAAGTGCTCAGAGTTTTGTGAAGCAGGGCGCCTCTAATTGAAACACACACAGGGATGGAGCATCTGTACACAAACCCACTGTGCGTCCCCCTTGCGCAGACGACCTCACTGACCCTGACGCCTCTGTGTCAACACTGGCCTCCCCTCATCCTGCACATGCACATGCTCGCACACACACCATCCTCCCCCTGAGACACACAATCATACACACATACATGATCGCACCTACCATACTAACAACCACATGCTGCACATGTGCGCACACACACACACATTGCCTTACATGTCACCAACTGTCACTGAAAAGCTCATACAGGCTGTATGCATATATACACACGCACAAATCTTGACTTACTCAATCTTAAAGAGGCTAACTGAACATAAACAGCTTTTTGATTTTTGATTTGCTAGGTCAGCAACAGCTCCATCAATATGTTAAAGGGATACTTTGGGGATTTGGCAATGAAGCCCTTTATCTACTTCCCCAGAGTCCGATTAACTCATGGATAGCATTTTTATGTCTCTGCATCCAGTATGAAGGAAGTAAGAGGTAGTTTCGTGCACCAATGGTAACTAGCAATTGCTCTAACGCTAGTTAGCAACTTCCTTCAATCTGCACGCAGAGACATAAATATGGTATCCACGAGTTCATCTGACTCTGGGGAAGTAGATAAAATGCTTCATTGTCAAAATCCTAAAGTATCACTTTAACCTTACAGTGGGGAAAAAAAGTATTTAGTCAGCCACCAATTGTGCAAGTTCTCCCACTTAAAAAGATGAGAGAGGCCTGTAATTTTCATCATAGGTACACGTCAACTATGACAGACAAAATGAGAAAAAAAAATCCAGAAAATCACATTGTAGGATTTTTTATGAATTTATTTGCAAATTATGGTGGAAAATAAGTATTTGGTCAATAACAAAAGTTTCTCAATACTTTGTTATATACCCTTTGTTGGCAATGACACAGGTCAAACGTTTTCTGTAAGTCTTCACAAGGTTTTCACACACTGTTGCTGGTATTTTGGCCCATTCCTCCATGCAGATCTCCTCTAGAGCAGTGATGTTTTGGGGCTGTCGCTGGGCAACACGGACTTTCAACTCCCTCCAAAGATTTTCTATGGCGTTGAGATCTGGAGACTGGCTAGGCCACTCCAGGACCTTGAAATGCTTCTTACGAAGCCACTCCTTCGTTGCCCGGGCGGTGTGTTTGGGATCATTGTCATGCTGAAAGACCCAGCCACGTTTCATCTTCAATGCCCTTGCTGATGGAAGGAGGTTTTCACTCAAAATCTCACGATACATGGCCCCATTCATTCTTTCCTTTACACAGATCAGTCGTCCTGGTCCCTTTGCAGAAAAACAGCCCCAAAGCATGATGTTTCCACCCCCATGCTTCACAGTAGGTATGGTGTTCTTTGGATGCAACTCAGCATAATTTGTCCTCCAAACACGACGAGTTGAGTTTTTACCAAAAAGTTTTATTTTGGTTTCATCTGACCATATGACATTCTCCCAATCCACGTCTGGATCATCCAAATGCACTCTAGCAAACTTCAGACGGGCCTGGACATGTACTGGCTTAAGCAGGGGGACACGTCTAGCACTGCAGGATTTGAGTCCCTGGCGGCGTAGTGTGTTACTGATGGTAGGCTTTGTTACTTTGGTCCCAGCTCTCTGCAGGTCATTCACTAGGTCCCCCCGTGTGGTTCTGGGATTTTTGCTCACCGTTCTTGTGATCATTTTGACCCCACGGGGTGAGATCTTGCGTGGAGCCCCAGATCGAGGGAGATTATCAGTGGTCTTGTATGTCTTCCATTTCCTAATAATTGCTCCCACAGTTGATTTCTTCAAACCAAGCTGCTTACCTATTGCAGATTCAGTCTTCCCAGCCTGGTGCAGGTCTACAATTTTGTTTCTGGTGTCCTTTGACAGCTCTTTGGTCTTGGCCATAGTGGAGTTTGGAGTGTGACTGTTTGAGGTTGTGGACAGGTGTCTTTTATACTTATAACAAGTTAAAACAGGTGCCATTAATACAGGTAACGAGTGGAGGACAGAGGAGCCTCTTAAAGAAGAAGTTACAGGTCTGTGAGAGCCAGATCACTTGCTTGTTTGTAGGTGACCAAATACTTATTTTCCACCATAATTTGCAAATAAATTCATTAAAATCCTACAATGTGATTTTCTGGATTTTTTTTCCTCAATTTTTCTGTCATAGTTGACGTGTACCTATGATGAAAATTACAGGCCTCTCTCATCTTTTTAAGTGGGAGAACATGCACAATTGGTGGCTGACTAAATACTTTTTTTCCCCACTGTATATATACCAAACAAAAATATAAACACAACATGCAACAATTTCTCAGATTTTACTGAGTTACACTTCATATAAGGAAATCAGTAAATTGAAATAAATTCATTAGGCCCTAATCTATGGATTTCACATGACTGGGCAGGGACACAGCCATGGGTAGGCCTGGGAGGGCATAGGCCCTCCCACTTGGGAGCCAGGCCCATCCACTTGGGAGCCAGGCCCCGCCAAACAGAATGAGTTTTTTCCCCACAAAAGGGCTTAATTACAGACAGAAATATTCCTCAGTTTCATCAGCTCAGACGATCCCGTAGGTGAAGAAGCCGGATGTGGAGGTCCTGGGCTGGTGTGATTACACGTGGTCTGCGGTTGTGAGGCCAGTTGGACGTACTGCCAAATTCTCTAAAACTACGTTGGAGGCGGCTTGTGGTAGAGAAATTAACATTCCCTGCAGTCAGCAGGCCAATCCTTCAAAACTTGAGACATCTGTGGTATTGTGTTGCTCCTGTAAGTCGCTCTGGATAAGAGCGTCTGCTAAATGACTAAAATGTAAAATGTAAAAATGTGTTGTGTGACAAAACTGCACATTTTAGA